GTGTGTGTGTGTGTGTGTGTGTGTGTGTGACAACACAGGCGATGAGTAAGGTCAGGCAGGCGCCCTCCTGCCTCCCTGGCTCCTGGCTGCCCCCGTGTTTGCAAACACTCTCTCTTCCTCTCTGCGCCCTGCTTGGCCAAAGGCCTGAGCGAGGCTACAACTCCCGCTGGATCAGGTGTCGCCCTCCAGGCCCAGTACAGCCCAGCACCCCTGCTGTGGCCACAGGCAGTTTCCTGGTTGGGGTGTCGGCTGTGTGCCTACAGAGGGGCAGCCCCAAGCACCCTTCAACTGTCGGTACAGGCTTGAGAAGCAGAATCCCACACCCCTATCCTGGAGGACCAGGGGACCCTGTGAAGCTGAGGGTCCTGGTGGGGTATAGGGAGCACCTCATCCTCAAACTGAAATAACTGGGTGATCAGGACACGGATGTGTCCCGCTGGCGCGGGTGTGGCTACGCAGCAGGTGGCACAGGGCAGGGGCAGAGAGGAGGTACGAGTGTGGTAATTGGTGGTGGCAGCTGGGGATTAACGGGAAGGTGATGATGACCCAGCAGGCCCCGGGTGGCTGGGGACGACGCAGCGAGCATCCACAGAAGCCAGGGCGGGTGCCACACTCATTAAGCACCCATGATGCTAATGGTTAGATCCTTAACACCCTGCTCAGTGGTGGCACTGGTATGAGAGGGACCTGTCTGAGGTCACCCGGGAGCCAGATTCACACCCAGGCCACTCTGTCCCCTGCCTGGCCAGCAGGAAGAGGGGCTGGGTCAGGGCTGGGGTGTGAGGAGTGTGTGCAGGCACGTGTCAGGGTGTGGAGGATGAAGACCGCATTTGCACGCAGGTGAGGGTGTGAGCAAGCGTGGGTTGTATGCAGGCTGAAGTGGGTGGGTGCGTGTGTGCTGTGAGCAAGCGAGTCCTGCCATCTGTGCTGTGAGGTGGGGGCTGCACCCTCCGCGGAGGGGACGGAGGGCAATCGGGCCGAGCTGACGCCGGGCCCTGCGGAATGAGCACACATGGACAGGGTGTGAGGAGCTGGCCCTCGAACACCACTTGTGGGGCGTGGTGAGGGGTGCACGCCTGTCATCCCTCCAGAGGGAGGGAGGCTGAGGCACAAGAGTCCCCAGTTCCAGCCCAGCCTGCACAACCATGTGACTTAGTGAAAGCCTGTTTCAAAGAAAGAGAAAAGGTCAGGGGTGGGTGAAAGCTCTGAGTTCCACTCCCAGGATTAGAAAAATAAAAAGAATTTTAACCAAACAGGATGGAGCATGCTCCTGAGGGCAGGCACCGCGGGCAGGCTCACCAGCAGTCTGCGCAGCCTGGGCTGCGGGTGTTAGCCGCAGCCCTCCAGCCTTCCGCCGGCTGGTTAGAGGCCCACTCTGTCCCCGCTCGCTCTGTGGGCGCCTACACCATGAATGCAGCTGAAATTCTCTTCTCTCCTGCAGCTGCATGTGCAAGGCCAAGCGAGGCAGCTACTGTTCTGGGCCGGGTGCAAGCTGACAGCTCAGCTGTCCCGGGGACCTAGGCCAGGACTGGCGGGCGGGGGCAGCTGGCCACCCGCCCTGGCTGCAGGCCCCAGGGCCAGATGTTCAGGCTTAGCTGCCCAGCCCCACGGGATAGAGTGACTGGGTAATTAAGCACCCGCTTGCTCAGGGCTGGCAGAAGGCAGTGGGGGTGGAGGCTCAGGGCTCCCCACGCCAGGCTCACAGAGGGGCCAGGAGCCAGAACCCCACACTGGGCTCTTGGGTATCTTTGGGGGTGATATGGAGCCAGGCTTCACCCTCGCCTGTCCTGGAGATGGCAGAGGGCAGTGATTCTCCAAGCTAGGCTGCTGCCACAGCCCCAAGGCCCAGGGAAGGAAGGGGAGGATGGCAGTGGCCTCCCCTGTGTCTCCTCAGGGCACCAGTCAGCAGTTATTTAAGTCCCAGGCTTAATGACCCGAGGGGGAGAGGACTCTGCGTGCTCCCTGCCCCTTGGCATCGGGACCCCCGGGCACAGTCCCTCAAGCAAGTAACTGGACCCTGCTGGCCTTCACCCGGCGGGTGGCACCAGCTCCATCACCCTCTGCGACCTCTGAGCCAGCCTGGGGTGGCAGGCAGGAGGAGGAGCCATGGTGTCCTGCCGGAGGCTGCGGGGCCAGGTGGGAGGGCGTGCTCCCCGCCAGCCTCCCATTACCCACATAAGCTGGAGAGGGCCCTGCCCTGCTCCCCTGCTGGGTGGCTGTGGACCCCAGGGCAGGGTCAGCACAAGGGTTCTTTCCCGATGTCCTGGGTGAGCCCGGCCCTGCTGGGCGGCCCTGAGACCTTCCCTTCTGAGCCCAAGGCCAGGCATCTAAGTTCCGCCTTGCAGGGCTGTGGTGAGGACTGGCTCAGCAGCGGTAAGAGGTGAGTCTGGGCTCAGAGCCCTGGATGTACACACTGCACGCCAGGCTCTGCTCTGACAGTCCCGGGAGACCAGCTCTGCGACTGTCTGCACCTCACAGGGGACAAATCTCAGAGAAGGCAGGAAAGGGGCCAAACTGCATAGGCAGGCCACACCGGCAGGCCCAGGCTGTGTGCAAGCAGGCGTGATGTCACCTTTAGAGGGAGGCCTGGTGGGCCATGGATCTGCCACACAGGCCCCACGGGCCCTGGCAGTGACCAGTCCTGCGATCTCACATCGGGGACACTGTGACGTTGGGAGCACCAAGAAATCAGGCCTCGCCCAGCACTGTCCAGGAGGGCAGCTGTGGACCGGCCAGCACCAGCTCCAAGCCCTCATGACTGCTACGCTGCGGTGGCAGAATCGCATGAGGAGGGCTCCATGCACCTGCTGTGTCGAGCGGCAGACTGCACATCTGCAGGGAGACAACAGGAAGGTGACACCATGCAGGTGAAGCGTCCCCACAGTTGACCCAGAGCACCTGAGATCATGGTCTCTGTGGTGCTAAGGGGACACAGCCACGCTCTCTGCGCCACTTCTGCTCCCCAGGCGGGCACAAAACACGAGCAAGCAGAGCCGTCTGCTCACACAGGTATCGCCGTCCTCAGGCCCACCACGAGGATCACCTCGAGG